GAGGTCTTCTCTCCCTTTGCCCTTCTTATCTGTCCCCATCCTATCTTCTGGCTGTGATTTCAGGGTCTCAAAGTCAAGGACAGATCCTTCTAGCCCTTTTCCTTTGCTAGTTCTACATGTGATGTTCTGGCTTTGGAATTGCACATCTATTGCATTTTGAAATAATCATGTCTGACATCCTGTCCCAAGCGCAGTCAGTTAATTATAAAAAATAAACATTAAAAGTAAAACCCCACCTTTTCCTCCTCAGACATACCCACCTGAAGATCTGCAGTCCCCGTGGGCCCCACATGCTAAAGCATAGCTTCTAGAGCTGTGCTCGGGAAAAGCCAGCATGGAAAGGATCTCAAAGTTTAAAAACAATCGAAAACACTTTAAAAAAATAAATAAAAGGAAAGAAAATCTTTAAGGAAATCTAAGCCATTTCTTTACATAGCTGAAGGTAAACAACAGGCCAGGAGATAGATTTGCTTTATGTGACCATAGGAGAAACAGTGAGTAGAAGCGCTAGCAAAATAATTTTGCTCTAAACTTACGAGGAAAACTTACTAGTTGACAGAGCTATCCAGAGAGAGGGGTGGTGGCTGTCCCTTGTAGCCAGTGAGAGCTTCTAAGAGTCAAGAACGGCTGAAGTTAAGGGAGGTTTCGAGAAGCAGGTTTTGGTTCCCCTGGCCAACCTGTATGTCCTCTTCAGATTTTTGAAAATCAGCCATCCATCTTGAAAGATGTCCACCTCTACTCTGTGGTCATATGCAGGTAGCTTTAAAAAATGGACTTTCCTAGATTTACTTTTGTTAGGGGAGCTACCATGATCCTCCACTTTTACTTTGGACAGGTGCATCACAGGGGTGGGGGTCCTGAGGCCAGGAAGAGCTCTTGGTCTGGTGGCCTAACTTAGCCCCTGGTAGTGCTGGAGACTTTAAGGACAGACAAGAAGAAACACTTGGAAGGGACAGAGGGTGCGAGACTTGTGGGAGGTACAACAGCAGCTGTTATCTGATTTGTACATTAGCTATGCTCCTCTTGTCCAAGCTTTCTGGACCCTGCTTCAGAACCCCTTTCTTATGGTTCCCTGCCAGAAGATGCCTTAGACTGTGACAAGATTTTGGGCCTCAGTGGCCCTGCTTGGGCTCAACCTTGTCTGGCTGTACATTCACCCATAACAGGCTGGGTAACTTTGGCTGTTTAAATTCAAATATTCTTTCTACTCTCACTATGTACATCAATTCTATTAAGTTCTTTTGTACTAAAAGTATTCTTTGTCTTTATGTACATGGATGGTCAGACCCCTGTAAAGCGTGCAAGTTGGCCCTCCCTATTGGCACAAGGGGTTAAAGTATAGCACTATGAAGTGGTCGGCAGCCACTACAGCACATATTTGATCCCTGCCAGGAAGGTGACCCACATGGTACAGCAGACCTCTCCTGAACACCCCCTGCTCTCCTCAGCAGTGTATTTCATTAGATCTTCCTCTTCTGTTCCTCACTCTGTCTCTGGTGAATCCTCTCACCCCCCCCCACACACCTCTGGCCTGTACCCCAGTTCTATATGCATAAATAGATTTTTTTAAGTGTGCAAGTTTGGGGGTCCTGGGGAGCTCCTCAGTTGCATGTTAAAAATAGTGATGTTATTTTGATGAGACGTGGGGTCAGTGAGCAGGGTCCTTGAGTTACTACTAAGAAAAGTTTTGGCAAAGCTCCCTTTTCAGTGGCACGCAGCTAGTTTCCCTTGGAGATAAGACTTACATAGACACAGGCAGGTGAAGGTTTCATTTTAAAAGGACAGGCTTGATAGGAACGGGAGAAAGAAAAGGAGAGGCACCTGCATAGACACAGGTGGGCAGGGAGAGCCACTGCTTTGCAAAGGGAAAATGTTTTGAAAAGAAACTTCTGCATAGTCACCGGCTGCTGGAGAGTTGCATCTGCCGGTGCTGAAACCTGCCAGTGCTGAAACCGATTGATTCAGTGCTCTCCTTTGTGAGAGGGGTTCGTTCCTTTGTGGAACTGTTATCTGTTGTTAAATTAACTTCAAGGATGAGACTAGGTTGATTTGTAAGCCCCAGGGATTTTCTATAAGGGGCCTCAGTCTCCATATCCCACGTCTGGTCTGTGCCTGGGGGTACTTCCTATAGCTCTGATACTTGTTATAGGGGTTTAAGAACTATGTTCATTTCTACCCTCATCTCTAGTTCTTGGTCTTCTAAAGCCTCCAACTTAACTTCTACTCCCCACTTCCATCAGTAGTATATGTTTATTTAGCAAAGAAACTCTTTCTTAGTCTGAAGAGTCCCACTATATAGCTCAGGAGCTCAAGTCAATGACTAACTTCCATGCAAGTCAAGCCAAAGAAATTCTTTGTTTCCAGAACACTTTGCACTTTGAAAGACAGTAGCCTTCAACATCTTTCATGGGATGCAACAATTTCTGCACTAACCGGCATATGCCTACTTTATTGGTTAGCCACCTCTCACCCAAGAAAGCTGCAACCCCCAGGGGTACAACAAATACTCCAAGAATATAAAATCCCAGACACTAGGACGGAAAGCCTTGCATCTGAGATTTCCACCAAGCCCTGGAAGTCCTGGTAGTATTCTCAACTTAGGCGTCCCTCCACACTGAAGAAATCTATTTGATTCTTCTGTTCTTGTTTTAAATAAGCATCTCCCCTCCTAAGCCTTATTGATATTTTGAATTATACTTCCAAATATCCGTCCCAAATACCCAAGGTTAAAGTCCCAAATACCCAAGGTTAAAGGAAGCGAATGAAAGTCAGCAAGTCTGGGAAAGGAAAACATCTTGTGGTGGCTGAGTGAGCAAAACAAAAACACCTGCTGTGAGGAGCCCAGGATACACCCTACTGATAAATCCTGTCAACAGGATTCAGTCAGAAGCCTGGAAACAATCCCGCCTTTCCCCAGTGCAACCCACAGATGTTCCACCAAATAGGCATTTCCGTTTGATAGCTTTTTATCTCCTAAAATTCTTGCCTTCTTCACCTACATAATGCATCCTGAGTTTTAAATTTGCTTGTCATTCTACCCAGAGATTACAGAAGCCAGAAAACGATTCATTCTTATGTGCTTGCCTGCAATGCAATGAATTCCTCCTTTTTTTCTGAGAAAGTTGTGGGGAGGGGAGGAAGTGTGCAAAGGAAAGCAGCTGACTAGACCCCTTTTCCACTAATCTGTTTTCCTTACAGGTTAACCCTCAAATTTTACTTCCAAGAGGACATCTTTTCCCCTCTACATAGTGGAGATTATTATTTAGTGTCCAGGACTTCTTAATAAGGCCTTCATGTTATACTCTTTATTTTATTTTCCCATGTTTATCCCCTGCCACTTTCTTCGTAAAGTAAAACACCTCATCTCTCCCCTCCCCGACACTCACAATCCTCCAACTATGCCAACTACGCACAGTGTGTCAACACTAAGCTTCCATCCTCCTTACACGCTCACATATCCACGTGGTGATTTCTTGCACAGTCTTCAAGATTTAGCTCCTATGAAGTCCCACAGTGCTCACAGAGCATTAATCACGTTGCCCTGTAATTTATGTATGCACCTGCCTGCATATCTCCAGATGTAATTTTCATGACTTGGTAATAATAACATGGTGAAGATAATACTAAAAAGATGACCAAGGAGCTAAAGTAACTCTGGCCAATCACTCAAAAAGAAATGGGAAATTAGGTTCAGCTGAATACCAAGGAGAAGTAAAGGATGGAGGATAGAGCAGTTGTTGGTTCTAAGCCTCAATGGGCAAGACGGGGCCTCCCCAAGATGTTCACAACAGGTCTTCTGGTCATGTCACTTTGGTACATGGATTATTTTGAACAAAGGTCACTTGAGACTCTGCAGGCTCAAGACAAACCTTAAACTACATAGAAGATTAAAAATTAGGGGTGTTATCTGTGGGAAACACCTACCTCTATAGCTGGACAAACATCTAATTACAGAGCATCTGATTTTTTTTTTTTGATGTGGGCATTCCCCTCCACCCTCCTTGAAGCCCCAGACCCCATTCTGTAGCTTAGACAAATTCCCTCATTTTGACCCATTTTAGAATTTATGTCCAGGTAGATTTTCCATATGCATGTAATTAAATTTGCTCATTTTTCCTACTAATCTGTCTAATGCTAATTTGATGGCTCAATCAGACCCAGAAGAACCCAGAGGAGTAGGGGAAATTTCCCCTCTGCCTCTACATGGGGACGGGATAGCCTCAATGTGAAAGAGACTTCTTGACAGCAAGTCACGCCTGCCCTGCAGAGAACCAAAGGCTCTGGTTGGCAGTTGGAGGACTCGAGAAAATGGCTTTCACGGGGAGCAGACCCCAGAAAGTGCCGAGGAATGACCTCTGGCTTTTTCCTTTTTCAGGGAACAGTTAAGCAGTTAAACAGTTAAGTTTCAGGGAACAGAACATGGTGCAGATGTGTTCAAGTATATTTGTGTCTAGGTGTCATTTCCTTAGGGAAGTAAAGTAGGATTGCTAAAATATAGAATTCAGCAGTTTTGAGGATTGGTCTTAAGCTTTTCTCAGGAAGCTTTCACAAAAGAAGTGGTACTACTTAGTTAACTTACAGTTGAGGTGAGTGTGGCCTGCCTGGTGCTTCCACCCATCAGTCCCCCCAGCTACTTCGGTGTAGGAAATGCATTGAACAAACTCTGTCTTCCAAGACAGAGAGCCACACAAATATCTTTCTCTCTAAAATGAAGTCGAATCCAGGACTTTGAGGGTAGAAACTCATCAGTAGTGGAAATGAAAGTCTTTTAAAAAATAACAGTAATTTCATTGTGAGTAACTACCACCTGATGCTAAAATGCCCAGTTACTCAAGGTTCTTATGTACCCAAAACTTGCTCTGTTGAAATATGTACTGGTTAGAGCTAGGATGACTGAATTCAGCCCGAAACATAAACCTCCACACAGTCAATACCAGGTGTTTACTTCCTTACTGAACCCAGTGGAAGAACTGGAAGGGAAGATGGTGTAGTTACAAACCGCTCAAAGGTGCTCTTCCAGATTGAATTGAGCAGCCGCCATGCTTTATGCTGGATTCTTTAAAACCAAAGCAAAACAACAGGACAAACAAAATGGCTTGGAGATAGCGCGGTGCTGAGAACCGGAGAGACCAGGGATTAGTGGACCTGTGGGTGGTGGACGGGGTAACAGGCAGCAGCCGCCAGGCTCAGGTCTCCACCTCAGTGGTCCCCACGGTTCCCTGGCTCACAGCAAAGTGGGAAGTGGGGGTTTTGAGTGTTCCCTTGTGCTCTGGGAAGGCCGGTGGATCCTTTAATTCCAGGACCACTCGGGTCAAAAGGCTTTTGAGCAGTTGCATTTCCCGAAGCAGAAGGTCCATGTCGGACTTCAGGGCTTCTGGTGCTCGTTCCAAGGAAGCTGGCGCAGTGCAGGCAGGCGGCCCAGCTGTGGGGGATCTGCCAGCAGCAGGCAACTGCTGCCCTGCCGAGGTGGTGTTTGGAAGGGCGGTGACCGACGGCACCGATCTGGACACCGGGGGCTTTCGGAAGGAGAGCGGCTTGCTACCGGGTGCCAAGGTTGCTGACTGCGGTGCTGGGGCGGAGGTGGATGTTGGGTCCAGAGAAGCTGTGAATGCAACACGCCGAGCACCACGCGGCTAGAACTGTTCTCCCACAGTTTGGGGGAGAAGGGTGTGCAGAGAGCGAGTGAGGGGAGACAGACGAGGGGCAAGGAGGGTTGGGGGAGAAGGGAAGGGGGGTGGAAGGTGGGAAGGAGAAGGCGGGTACAGAGAGAAGGGAGGAGCGAAAGTAGGGGGCAGGAGCGGGCGTGCAGGGAGAGTCGGGGGACTGAGAGGCGGTCTCTGCGGGATGGAACTCCGGGGAGGGCTGTGCGCACTCACCCCGTCCTGTGAGCTGCAGCCAGGGACTACGCTTACGGACGCTGCGGGTGGAGGTGGCGGCCTCGCACCAGTAGGACTCCAGCTCGTCGTGCTCTAGCTCGGGGACCGTGTACTCGGCGCCCCAGTCGAAGCGGCGCACTGGCCGGCTGTACTTGTAGAAGGCGAACTGCAGCGGCGTGTCGCGCTTCTGCGGGTGTAGGTGCGTATGGCAGCGCAGGACCACGCCGCCTCCTGCCGCCCCCCGGGCTTGCGCCGGGCCCAACACCCTCAGCACCGGGACCTGGAACAGCTCTGGGAAGAGGGACCCGAGGCTGAGGGTGCGCGCGCGCGACCAGCGGCAGTATCCTGGGACGACCCCGCTTTCCTACCAGCCACCCGCGGGGGCTCCCTGTTGTCCAGGAGGCCACCCGCAAGTGAGAGGAGGCTGTGCGCACGCGTGGAGGGAAGGGGGTACCGCCTTCAGAAATGTGTCCCCAAAGGACTGGAGGTCCTTTGAAAGGAGGTCACACCAGGCTGGCCCCTTCAGGTCACATCCTTAGGGTTCGGTTCTCCCGCCTAGAAGGGCTGGCTGCCAGTTCCCTGACCCCAGGCCCGCAGCGACCCCTACCACTACCTCCTTCACTCTGACTGGGGTTCTGAACAGATGCTTTCCGTATGGGGTCCCCCCCCTGAGTAAGAAGCCAGGGTGTATATGTGGGGGCATCCCACGCAGGCTGAAGATCAGGGCGCCTTCACTGCGGAGAAGAGGACAAAGCGTCCAGGGGGTAGCACAGAAATCCACCTCCCGGCCCCTACGTGAGTTTGCACCGCGTTCCCAGTACGCGGCCTCCTCCTTCCCCGGCGCCGGGTTTTCCCACCTTGCACGGTCACGGCCACCTTGGCGGAGAACATGGGCGCGCTCTCCACTGGTATGCGCATGGTCCCGGAGCACTGGTAGTGACCGCTGTCGCTGGCACGCGCCTGCGGCACGGTGTAATTGGCGCTGGAGTGGAAGTAACGGACCGCCTGCCCGTCGTGGTAATAATGGAGCTTGTAGACGGCTTTGTCGTACCAGCCGCGGCAGCGCAGGACCAGAGGCTCACCCTCGAACACCGACGCGTAGGGCACTTGCAGGATCAGCCAGTCTGGGACAGGCACCACAGACAGACCTGACTTCAAAAGAACCTCCCGCCCTGGGGAGTTGGGGGTGGGGTGGGGGAGTTTTCCATTTTTCTAGGCTTCCCTCCACCCCCACCGCCACCCCAGAGGCTATTATTTCCATTCTCCTCCCTTCTCCCCCCCCCCAGCATTCCCCCCTCCACCCCTTACTGGGTGACAGGTCCTGGAGAACCTCAGTTGGTGAGGGGGGGGGAATGGAAAGACTGGCATTTTTTTAGAGACCAAAGATGCCCAAGACTCCTTTTTAGCGGTAAAGAATAATGTGCACAGGAATCTAGGCTGACTCCTTAAACTGGTCCCTGGTTGACTTCTGACATGGTCCCTGCTGACCTCCCTAGCATCATCTTAGCATTCCCTCCCCAGCCGGTCTCCCCTATACCCTCCCTCCCCACCTTCCATTGCCAATGCTAGCCAAGTCCATTCACACTGCATTTGGGGTAGACACCACCCAGTTCTGAGTCCAGAGGCTATGAACATGCCATTTCTCTTTGCCAGTTTTAGCTGAGGTCTACTTGTCTTGCTTAGACCTATCTCCTCCCCCAAACTCCCCTGAGGCCCCAGGACAGTCTTAGGGAACTTCCCCAGAACCCAGTATATCTGCATCACCATCATCACAGCTGACACTTACATGCCCTGGCATGGCCCCTTTTAGGCATTTTATTCAAATTGAGAAAGAATTTTGCAAGTTAACAGCCTCAGTTTATGACTCTGAATTTTGTGAGCAGTAACCACTACTTGCTGTGCTCAGTATCCTAACTGTACTCGCTGACAATTTCCAAATAAGTTACAGAGTATGAATATGCAGTGTCTGTGTGTACTAATCTGGTTCCTCCGTGAGGTTCTTTAAATTAGCTTGTAAATTGTGGCCTACCAGGCTAAGATAACCTAACCTAACCTAACCTAACCTAACCTAACCAATATAATATTGCCTACATAAGAGCAAATCCTCTGCCTTAGTCAACTAATAATTTTATTTCTCTTACTCTGTTTCGAAACCCTTTAAGTATCCTCAGGAGTTAGTTTCTTAATTGACTTCTATGTATGCACATTATGTATACATATCTATAATAACATTTTAATTAAGTGTTTTGTTCAATTGCTACTTTTTTCTCGAACAGCATGTTGTAATTCCTTTTTCTCTTCACAACAACCAAAGAGATAGATTCTATTATTGTTCCTAGTTTACTGATGGGAGGTACTGAGAAGTATCACACTGTTTAAAACAAGAATAATTCCCACCCTCCACCCTTGCCTGAAGCCAGTCTGGGAGCCTCTTTTCCCACTTTGCTCTGCCCTTTTTCCATCCCAGGATCCCAGTGCCCTCTTTTACCCCCTTCTCTGCCCACCCCTGTTCTTCACAGTCTCTGCTCTCCTGAACTTGCCTATAAAGAGACAAATGTTATTTATAATCCCCTGTAGCAGGAGGGTGAGGGAACCTTTATCTCCACATGTACCACACTGGCCCCTGCCTGCTCCAGAGTGTGGATGGCCTCCAATCCCGCCATGATGGGCATGAGGCTCCTCTTCCCCAGGAGGGTGGCATCTCCAGAGCAGGCTTGTCGGGACACTCACCATTGGAGACGGAGAGGTGGATGGGGTCGCTGACTGGTGCTCCCCGTGTCTGACATCGATATACCCCTGGGGACTGCACCTCAATGCTCTTCTTGTGGAAGGGGAGGAGGAGGTGACCCAAATACCAGAGGGTGCTGATGGGCCTCAGCTCCAGGAGCAGGGGATGGTATCCATCACACCGCAGGGTTACCCGCTCCCCCTTGAAGATGGTTGTCCAGGGAGGGTGCAGAGACAATACGGGCTTCTCCAGAGTAGCTGGGGTTGTTGGGAGGGAACAACATGGGAAAGAAAATCAAGGTGAGGGATCCAAAGATGCTGTGTGAGCCTGGGAAATCTCAGAAAATGCCAACTTCCAAGACCGGGCCCACACTCCTGACCGCTCCCCACAGGGAGTCCCAGTATATGGGGCTAATAGCCCTCAGTCCCTCAGCAGCACCCATTACAGATAAACTGACTCATGGGCTTGAGGAGGAGAGGGAGAGACACTCCCAGAACAGAGAGGTTGCATTTACACACGCAGGTCACGTGAGGCAGGAGTGAGTTATGGAAAATAGGGGCGAGGGATGTGAAGACTCACCAGCTTGTCCACTGCTTGGAACTGCAAAGTAATAACAATAATTATAATAATTATTATAAATCTTGTCTTGATGATGACAAGAACAGTAGAGAAGTAAAGGGACGCTCTTGACCATGGGGGAGTGAACCCACAGCTCTCAAATCCTCTAATTACCCCAGCACTGACAACTCCCCTCCTCTTTAAAGCTCCAGAAGTACATAAGGAACTGTTTGGAGTGGAGGACTGAGTACCCTGCCCCCCACACTCCTTACCCCTCACCAGAGTCTTCACGCTGATGCCTTATCCAGGACTCACCCAGGAGCAGTAGGGTGGTCAGAACCCACATGCTGCAGCAGCTGCGGAAGGATGGGGAGGTGCCTGCTTGAGGTGGGGAGAGAGGTGGCTGGTGCTGCCCACCGAGTGCAAGGCTTCTCCTGCCCATCCCTGAATTGAGGATTGAGGTTGCTTGCATGTCAGCCTTGAGCAGCCTAAGCTCCAGGCTCTGTCTCATCTGCCACCCTGAAGCTACCTCACAACTCAGGCCAGTTCAACTCCTATAGAAACTGTGCCCTCTTTGGCTTAAGAAAGCCGTGTGGAACCCCACATTTGCCAGGTAGTTGCTGCCTTCCGGATCCCATGACATCCCACTCCTACTCTAGTCAGCTGTGTGAGGTCAGTTGAGGAAGACATAGCCTCATGTTCTCAGTGATCTCAACCTGTGTACCTCCACTCCCTGGTGCCTTACTTCCTTTTTCTACCCACTCCAAGACCCTTCCTAATTGCACCCCAGTTCTGGGATTCCTTACCTGTGGCAGCAAAGTAACTGCTTCAGTCCCTCAGAAGCTCCTCTCAGACACCCCCGTCCTGGACACACTTGTTGTGTTTTTTCAAGCCATGTGACCCAACCCTGGACGACAGGGAGCCTGAATTCTCATGTAAATACTTAATGAATTTTCCAACCTGATAGTATGTCTCTTTGGCCAGTTTACTGTCCTCACCATGGCTGCTTAGTCCTGGGTACCTTGTCCCCTTGGATTTGGGCAGGAAGGAGATGGACTGTCAGATGCTGTCAGCCTTCTAAGACAGCCTCTTCCCCTTCTTGCTTGTGGCTGCCCAAGGTTCCAGCCAGAGACCCCACAACTTCTCCTTTTGTTACTGTGTTGGTCCAGATTAAAAATGCAAGTGCCTCATAAGGAAAGGGGTTGGTCAACCAATGCTCTTGGCCATTTCAGGTCCTGCTTTGAAAGCAGGTTTTGGTAGAAAAAAGAATAGTATGGGCCTGAGAAGTGGGGGGGGGGGGATTTGATGACATGTTCATGACATGTTCATGGGGAGGGCGAGTTGAGCTAGATACTGGAGCAGATAGAAACCCCCTGCCTGACTCCCCATCCCTGCCAGGTGGACCCCACTTCCTCCACAACCTTCCCCAAGGTCTGCCCCATAGACTGACTGGTGACAGGACATCCGCTGTCCTTTAGTCTCCACAAGCTGACTCATCACTCTGACCCCAGTCTCAGCCTCTTTACCAGACTTCAGAAAATCTCCAGAATTAGGCTTCTCATCACACAGTGTTCAGATTTGGTGTGTAGAGCCTACCAACATTTCTCTATTTTAGGCTAAATGGAATATTTTTCTCCAGCCAGGACTTTCCCCACAGAATTTCTAGTTCTTTACCCCTTTGACCAAGCAGACAAATGTAGCAATTACTTGTTACCTGAGCCATTCTTTGAAGCCTCTTGTGCATGACATAATGCCTGGACAAGATGTGAGGGTCTTGAACAATGATCTTGAACAATAACTCTTTAAAGTTTATTCGGTGGCTCCCTGGGGAGTCTCGTGACCATTTCAGGAGGTCTGCAAAGTCAAATCCTTTTATAGCAGTACTAAGAGGTTATTTATCTTCTTTCACTGGGTTGATATTTGCAATAGTGCTAAAAGCAATGGGGATAAGGGACCCGTACAGCTAATGGCACCGACAGGTATTATTTTCCTTCATGTATTCAAAGCAAATGAAAACAAAACAAATAGAACCCTTCCTGGTGCTGCATGGGTTAAATACATAGCTTCTGCAGCATGAGTTGGGTCCCCAGCCAGGGAGGTGACCCACATGGTACAGCAGACCTCTCCTGACCCGCCCGCTTCTCCCTCAGCAGTTTAAGTTGACAATAAAAAACAATTATTAATATGGTTACAGATTCTGTGTTTCTGTTAATATGCCTGTTCTGTTCCCCGCTCTGTCTCTGGTGAACACTTTCACCCTCTACACCTCTGCCCTGTATCCCAGTTCTTGTGTGCATAAATAAATAAATCTTAAAACACACAGACACACACAAATCCTCAATGACACAGTAAATGAAAATCTAATTTTATTGAATGCTGAGCTCCTATAGGCATCTTCTTAATATTCTGGCTGATGATATGGTAAACATGCACTCCTGCCCCAGACTGAGATGGAAGAGCCATCTCCAGGGAGAGAGCTTGCATAATTGTTTGAGTTCTGGACTGAAGCCTTTTCATGGAACTCATTATTAATTGAAGGAATGACTGTAACAGTGGTCATTCAAATTTAGGTATATTGCAGACATTTTCTGAAAAGTGTGTCTGAGAGGACATTTTCTTTTCAGAAAAATATCTGACAGTAATATGGCCAATGATAAAACTAAAGCTTTCAAATGAAAACTAGAATTTTGGAAGACTATATTCATCATCATGAGTTTGATAGCTTCCCAGTAATTAAACTTTTGTGGTGATATTGAATGTGATTTTTAAAATATGTACATGAAATGGTAGCAACCTTTGAAAGATTGGTATAACTTTGTGAGTCAATATTTTTAGATTGGTATAACTTTGTGAGCCAATATTTTTAGATGACCCACACGTAGATGAAAGATACATGGAAAGAAGGACTAACAAATTTTAAGGTGACAATAAAAAACCAATTATTGATATGGTTACAGATTTTGTATTGCAACTCATCCTTAAAAAGCCACCACTTGCAAGTTTTGATATAGAATCAAAGAAGCATAACTACAACTAAGTGAAAAAGTTCTTAAAATCGTCCTTCCTTTTCCAATTATTTATCTGTACGAGGCCAGGTCTTCATCACAAATGTCCACTGACCTCTCTTCTGAGATTAGAGATCATATTACATTTCTTTTCTTTTCTCCTAATAGACCCTTGAAGGGTACTTTGCAAATAAATCAAATTAAAGGCCAGTGCTTCAGTACTGAAAAAAAATTAGCTATCTTATGTGGCTGATTAAGGCTGGGGAAATGTCTGAAAGAGTTGGATTTATTGGGGGTGTTGAGAATCTTTTACATGTCCTTGGCAGGACTCTCTGGGGTCTCCAACTTGAGGCGATGGGATAGAGCCCTTAGTTCCATCACCAGGTAGCCCAGGAGAACTCTCACATCCTGCATTTGTTTGACAAGAACACCCATCTGGTGGTGCAGGTGGGGGTCTGGCACTCGGAGGGGAGAGGAGAAGCCTGGGTCCTCAGAGGAAGAGACAGGTGGTGGAGGCAGAGAGCTGGGGGGCTCTGTAGGAGTGGTTTCTGGAGCAGCTGATTTCTGGGGAGCTGGATTCAAGCTGGAGGGTGCAGCAGGGTTGGAAGGACCTAGATGAGGGAGCAGGAGGCACATGTGAGAGTGAAGTCTGGCTCAGGCCCTACCCTCGGCACCCTGGCCAGCCTCCGTATTCTCAGAAAGTAGTTGTGGGCCCCCAGCAGAAACTTGGGGACTCTAGTGTACTCCTTGTCCAAACCTGAATCTGGAGTTGGACACCTTGAATATCTTCAGCAGTGAGGGCTTTGTCAGGAGGCAATGGACACTGGCTGGTCAATTCCTCTTTTAAGGTAGAACCAAATTCCCTGAGTATGGACGCGGTGGGTGGGAGCTAAGGCAGCCTCGCTACCGTGAATGGTGTTGCTGTGATGTTGTTACACTGAGCCCCCCTTGTCTCAGTCTTTAGTATTTGGATGATGCCCTCGTTATCCCCTTGGGGAATGAGCCCCTCCTGTTACTTCCATTCTATTTTCTTTACAACATGACTTCAAACCACAGATCTTTCCTTTCGGGTCAAGTTCAACCTTCTGAAGGGGGCTCCCAGAATGGACATTAATTCCACACTACTACACCCTCATTCTAGAGACCATCTCCTTACAAAATAGCAGAGACTGTAAAAGAACGTGAGGTCAGTGGGGCAGCCGTGGCGGGGCGTGGCCTAGGTCGTGGTTTGGTGAGGTGTGCACTGTGGTCTGAAGGACAAGCTCCCTATTCGTGCTCCTCTGCCACCAGGAACTCCGCTTGATTGTTCCTTCCTCCTCTGTGTCCTTTCTTAACCACTGACGCCAACCCCAACTCACAGGCTCACTCTCCCTCTTCCCTCTTCTCAAACACACACCAAACAGACACAAGGTACACTCACCCTGCACCCTGAGCTCCAGCACGGGACTGTGTTTCCACACGTGGCTATCCTCAGTGGCTGCCTCACACCAGTAGGACCCTGAGTGAGCCCTGGATGCCTTGGGGATTTGGAATTCTGGGGAGAGGTCACCACCACGCACCATCTTGCCATCTTTGTAGAAGGAGAAGAGGAGGCGGGCAGCTGACCTCTGTGGGGACAGCTTTGTCTGACAGCTCAGGGTCACCGGGCCCCCTTCTGTGGGCTCTGCTGAAGGTGTGGCTCTGAGAACTGGGGCCGGAAACAATTCTGGAGGAGAGAGAGGCCAGAGGGAGAGCTCAGTCTCCTATGTTCAGGTGGACCCACGACAGGCAAAGAGCCACTGGAATTCCTCCCCCGCCTTCCCATCAGGGAGATCCCTCTTAGAAAAGTTCCATTTGGACCTTTCAACTCCTCTTTAAGCAGAGCAGCCTAGAGCTATCGTCATCAACCAGACATGGTTGATCTCACCATAGTCCAGAAACCCCATCTGTGACCATAGGGAAACAGAGATGTGGGTGGTTGTAACTATGTGGGACTCCATGTTTGAGGGGTCACCCCCACAAGAGGGGGTTAATTGACCTGGACAGATAATGCTGAGGTGAGGCCCGCCTAGAGCCCCTTTGGGCACAGGCCAGTAAGCTGGCCCATAGGCCTTCAGTGATCACACCACCACCAGGCCAAAGGAAGAGGACCTGGCGCTCTCGCACAAAGACACTGCCCCTCACCCTCACCTTGGATGGTGATAGCCACAGAAGAGGCCGTTTCTGGACTTCCAGAACCAGGGCTTTTGAAGACACCACTGCAGTGGTAGTGCCCGCTGTCTTCCTCTTGTGCCACGGCGATGGAGAACTCCATGTGAGGTCCAGGGGGACCCAAGGCTGAACCATCTCGGAAGAAGGTGACCTGGGCCAGTGGCCAGTCTTGCCAGGCCTGGCAGTGTAGAATCAGCGGGTCCCCTTCAAACACAGGTTGGGCCGGCCCACGGAGGATCAGCCAGTCTGCGGTCGAAAGCAAGAGCTGTCACCCTCTCCCACCTTTGGGAACATCCACAGTGCTCTCCACAGCACACCCTCACCCTCCAAACATTTCTAAGAGTTCAGGTCACTGTTCCTCCATTTGGGGGTATGGAGTAACATTTTTAAAACCTGAAACTGAGGACACCCTGGCTGCTGATGGGGAAAATGGTACCCTACCCCAGCAGTCACCTGGGGTGGGGGGGGTGCCCTGCTGAGAGGAGAGGTTTGGAAATTGAGGGAGTGCTCTGGTCAGTCCTACCGTAGGACACAATCAGATGGAATGGCTCGCTGAAGGTGTAGCCCTTGCCCTGGAAGTCCATTTCCTGTGGGTCAGTCAAGATGTCCTCGGTGTGGCAGCCACTGTCCTGGGCACCGACAGGTCTTTCATGCTGCAGTGTCTCAAGGCAGGCAGCTGCGGAGGGCATGTCCCAGAAGAACCAGGTGGCTTATACTGCTTCCTCTGCCTGCACCCAGCCATCTCCAAGCTCCCAGCCTACAAAGGGGGCAGGAAATTGCCCTCCACAAGGCTCCTTCCTCTCTTTGTTTGAATGAGAATCAGAAGATACCAAATGTGGTTTTGCAACCCACCCATGTGGGTCTCTCAGAGGGACAGTTTTCACCTGGAGACTTGGTTTCCAGGTGTTCTCCACACATTGACTGTGGGAACGCAAGGAGGGAGAGGAGCAGGGTAGGAACTTACCACTATGACCTCCAGCTTCTGGTGCAGGAAACGGGAGGCCCGAGACAGCTGTGATCCCAGGGCAGGCGAACAGCAGGCAGGAGGGAAGGAAGGCCATCAGAGTCCACACTCACTGGGTGTTTCCTTTGTACCAGACGTTGCCAGGCACTTCCCCACATAATCTTATCTAATTTTCACAAAGTGACTAGGTACCCGGTTCCATCTCTATTTTATAAATCTTAATGACACAGAAAGGCAAATTAACTTACCCAAAATGTAAAAAGAGAGTAGAAAACAGAATGAGAAAGTCAAGTGTGTCTGAGTCTGCACGCAGTGGGCATTTACTTCACTGCTCAGACACGATCCATTCCAGTCCTCGCACCTGCCTTGGGGGCTTTCTTCCTAGCCTCATCTTCCTCCAAGTCACTGGACTCTCATCCTTGACTCTTCACCTGACTATGTTGTTTTCCTAGTAGTTTTCAACATGTGGCTGTGTCTCTCTTCCCCTTTCAGCTCTACAATAGGCAGCTGCCTCTCTCTCTTGATGTCCTCTGCTTCTAGAATTTTCCCCACAATGGTAGAGCCCTTTCTCTGCCCTTCTCTCCACCCCCAATCCTTTCCACCCAGCCCATGCTGGTAACAGTGGGACAATCTTCCTTTGAGTTATGGATTCTCTGACCTGGGCCAGAGAAGTGTAGCTGTCCCATCTTGATTGCTACTTCTTGTCCTCCCTTTAGCCCCATGGTCTTCCACATGGACTTCATCCTTCCCTCTGTCCTTCCTTGTCCCTCTCTGCCCCTCTTCTTTTTCCTTAATCTCTCACTGGGCCATACTCTTCTTTGACCTTGTAGTTTCACCTTACTTAGCAAGGTCTCTCTCTTGACATACTAATTTTTATGACATCAGAAACAGATGCCCCTTGAGGCCTTCTCTCAGCTCCCCGCCCCACACGGGGGCCCTTTCAGTTCCCCTACAGGCCCTCCACAGGACTCAAATGCCTCTTCTTTTTGAAAACAAAAAATCTCATTGGGCTACCAGGCACTTTCACTCAATAAACTATGTGATTGGTACTATTCTCATTTTATGAATGAGCAAATTGAATTCAGAGAAAAAAAGGGACCTTTCAAAGTGACAACTAGTAAATAGAGGAAGGGCTTGAGAGCATAGGATCTGATTCCAAGCCAAGGGGTCTCACCATACCAGTGCTACTTTTATGAGTTCAATAACACAATTCAACAAAATTATTGTGCTGAGAATTCAAAGATCAATAAGACAAGGTTAAAAAACAAAAACAGGCTAGTGTCTTAGGGGTTAAGTCTCAGCACTATCACCTCTGTGGCCTGAGTTCAATCTCTGGCCAGGGAGCTGACCCACATGACACAGCAGACCACTGCTTGCCCACTGCTCCCCTCAGCAGTGTATTTCAGTAGATCTGCCTGTTCTTCTCCCCACTCTGTCTCTGGTGAATCCTTCACCCTTGCATCTCTGGCCTATGTATACAGTTCCTTTACATTATTAAATAGAACCAAAATTTGAAGGGGAAAAAAGCATTGTCCCTGCTTACAAATAACACTCAGTTTCTGGGTGACAAAACTATATAAAGAGATTATTCAGCAGGAGGAAGAAACTAATAAGAAAGAGGCCTCACAGGCAGCCATCAGAATAGAAAGGAGAATCTCCTGGTGAAGATACCACCTAAACTGAGGTTTTGGGATACCTAGAGGTTGGTATGAGATAGGGGACCAGAGAGTCATGGGGATAGTGGCTTCAGGCAGAGGTAGCAATATAAGCCAACTTTGGAGACAGGTAAGAGTTTGGTATGTAAATGTATTAGTATAAGCCAGTTGGGATTTATTGAAACATAAATTACAAGGTTCAAAGGGTGGGAGTCCAGGTTGAAGCAGTTAATTAGAGGCAAGTTTATGGTGGGCATTGTGTGCCATGATCAGGAGTTGAGCTGACGAGCTTGAATGCTTGAAATCACTTGCTGCAGAATGCAAAATTCATTTTAAGGACAGAGATGGGGATGTTAGTCAGGAGGTTATTAGATGGGCTCAAGTCTGAAACAATGAGGCCTCATCCCAGGATGCCACTAGTTACGTTTTAGGGAAGGGACTGACTTTAAGAACAATTGAGAAGGCCAATTTTGCTGAAATTGCAGAAGGGTTGATTGCAGAAGACAGAAGAATCTAGGTTGTTGCCCAAATCTTTGGCTTGGATGTTTGGGTAGATGCCATTAACTGAGATCAGAGAAATAAAAGATGCAATTAGGAGAGGTAGGGGCCAAGAGGACAGATGAGCTCAACTCTGGTGCAATTGTGCTGAGAGATCTGTGAAGTACACTGGTAGGTGTGATTTGTGCAAAGCTTGATATTTGCAGGTGAAACTCCAAAGCATGACTGGGACTGGCGAGATAATTTAGGCCACTTACATAAGTCTTATCCAGAAAATAAGCCCACTAAGGACATTGTGTAAAGAAAGGAGAATAGGCAGCTGAGGATGCAACTGTAGAAAAAACCAGTCTTAAGGGGAAGAGAAGCGAAGCCACCAAAGGAATCAAGAGAGGTATGTAAAATACAAGGAGATATATGGCACAGGGAGTCAGACAAGTGGGGAGTGCTGAGAGAAGTGGCCAACAGAGAAAGAAGTCCAGTAAGAGGAGCATTTGAATATGCAGTTGCTAGAGGTTATAGCCCACTGGGTAACACTGACTCTAGGGAAGCTGGACTGCAGGCATGGAGGAGCAAGTGAGAAATGAAGATTAGAGATAGTAAGAGCAGAATGCGCTTTCCATAAATTTTTCTGTGACAAGGAAGCAAAGAGTTGAATTGTAACTCAAGAGAACATCATGCTCAGGGGACTTACATTATGGAAAGGGCTTGAAGATTTTAATATCCAGAAAGATCCACTCAATCCTGCACACAACACACTTTCTCTGTCTTCATGTCCTACCTGCAAACTTTGCTTCTTTGGAGGGCTGAAGGTAGGTCCACATTTCTCTCCTTTGTCTTCTTCCCTCAAAGTCGGGCATAGCTCCACTCCCACACCAACATTCAATCATTTTACTTACCCAATAATACCTGGGCTGCCCAGAGCATAGTAGGAAAACAGTAGAAGGCCCTGGTTGTAAGGACACACCCCGGCTTCATGGTGAATGTGGTTTGTTCTCTGCAGCCTCTAGCACACTGATTTTCTTCAACATGAAACCCCTCAAATTAGAAAAGAGGAAATAAATCTAACTGTCTTATCTCCCCGCATCTGGGGCCTATTTTCAACTTTGTGATTGGCTTTCATCATTCAGGTTTGGCCAGGTTGTTCCCACATCAGTTTTCAAATGGGCCAAACACAGCCAGCGCATGACACCGAGAGTTATACCTTCATTTATTTGTTCAAGAATTCCTGGTAGAGCTCAGGAGGTCTTGCAAAGCATGGAATTGCCTGATTTCCCATTGACTTCCTAAACACTCCACAGAAAGTCAGTGTTCCAAGGGAAATGGGAGGCAGGCAATTGCTGAAAGGCGACCCAGAATCTCTGGGAGAGTAGCAATGAGGTTTCAAGTATCCTGCCTGCTCCAGCTCCAATCCTTGTGTGGTGTTAGTGACCGTACTGAGCAAGGCTGGGTGAGGAATGTTGGCAATGACACTACATCATATTCACATTAATCCCCTGTAGGGGCCAAGTACCTAAAGTCCATACACCTCATTGTATACAAATTTCTCAGCCCTGTTTCTGCAGCACAAGGAAGGCTATTCAATCCCATTGGAAATCTGAGTATGAAATAGAGAGAGTCCCCTGGGAAAGAGGAGAGGGGAAAAGAAAGTGGGTTCCTGGAGAACCCAGCAGTAAGCCTGGGGCTCAGGCTCATGGTCAGAGCGTCAGCCTCCCATCCTGAGGAAATTAGAGACAGGAGGCATCGGATAGCTGCTGAAACCTGAGGCGACTCAGGGGCAGCGGCACTATGGAGGCCACAGCACCTCTCCATCTCTTCTAGCTAGCTGGCCTCTGGGAGCCATGATCCCTGCCTCCAGTACAATGCTTTGGAGTGAGGTCTCCTCACTCAAAAAAGAGGCCTCTTTTCATAATGACCACATTCCTCTCCCTTCCCATCATAACACCCACCAGGACCTCAGTTGGTTACATGAAGATGATACAAGGGCCATCAGAAGGGGGGGAGGCCGTCCTGTTTGAAGACCCAGAGGCACCCGGTGTCCCTTCTTCAGTCATGCAAAAACCACAGGTCAGAGCAGACACATTCACATGAGCCACAGAGAGAAGAAAGCAGTATTTCTCATTCTAAAATAAGCATTTAGAATAAATTTTCCACTGTCGGAAAGGCATATGTTTTATGCAAGTGGCCCCAGGGAATCCAGGGTGGGTTGAGCATGGGTGTGGGGAGAGGCAATGAGGCAGTAAGTCTTGCAGCTGATGTGAAGTGAAAGACCCAGCAGAGTCACAAGAGGAAGACAAGTCCAGGACAAACTTGTGTAATTTAAGAGAATGAAATGTGTATAGATGAACCTTCACCTTAGCTTGCTCTAAAACACAGAATCTCAGGAATAGACAGGACTTTAGGGACTGTTGAATTTTTTCCCCATCTCCCACTGCTGTGGGACATTTGTTACAATTGATAAGCCTACACTAACTGACACATCATCACCCGAAATCCATAGTTTACATTGGGGTTCACTCTTGGTGATGTACCTTCACTGGTTTTGGAGCATTTGAAAACTGATCTCTGTTCAAAAGGTTGATAAAATTTACAACTCTCTAGCAAGACTGCCAAGGAGAAAAAAAAAAGAAGACACATCACCAATATTTATATGAAATATTTATATGAAATAAATGTGGAAAAACAAGGAATTGAAATAACTAATTTTGAAAAAGAACCAAGTAGGATAAATCAGTCTACCCTATTTCAAAATGTGCTATGTGGCAACAGTAATCAACACTGTGGTGTTGGCTGACAGACAGATACATGGACTATTAGGATAGACTAGAAATAGAAATAGACCCACACCAATATACTCCACTGACCTTTGACAAAGGTACAAAAGTATTCAACTTGAGAAAGGCAGTTTTTTCAACAGATGTAAAAAATGGGGGGGTCGGGGGGAAAGGGAACCTCATTCCATGAAAAGTAATTCAAAATGGATCATGGACATACACAAAAATGTAAAACTAGAAAACGAGAAGCTCTTCAATGTCTAATCTAAGTAGAGACCTTAGAATTGATACTGAAGCATGATGTAGTAAAAGATAAATATTTTCAATGACTATATGGAAATCATAAATGGACAGATTTGATTTACTCGACTAAGAATAGTTACAGAACTGCATGCTACAAGCTGTTTGATGAAAAGTCTTAAGTAATCTTGTTAATTTAAGTGAAATCATGCTTTTCAGTAAAAGTAAAAGAAGATATGTAGGAAACATTTAATTACTGTGGACACAGGAGTACAGCAAACAGAGACTGTCTCGTAGGATAAGTATCTCAGATGAGATTATATCTCTATAGATTCCTTGTATTAAAAAATGGAAAAGAGGACCCTCCCTTATGGCACAGTGGGTTAAAGCACAGCACTAAGAAGCTAAAGCCACTTTAGTATGAGTTCAATTCCCCACCCTGGAAGTGACTCACATGGTGCAGTAGTCGCCTGACTCACCCAATGCTCCAAGCCTCAGTAGTGTACTTCTTCCATCTGCCTGTTCTGCTCCCCACTCTGTCTCTGGTGAATCCTTTTACCACACTTGTGCCGCTTTTCTGTACCCCAGTTCTGTATACATACATAAATAAATATTTTTAAAAAATGGAAAAGTACTGGAAATATGAAATGGGATTGTGGGGCCTCCCTAGAGGCCTATGTGTTGTCTTAGTGATATCACTGCCACAACCCACCACCACTGCCTGAGTTCACTCCCCAGCCAGAGAGTTACCCACATGGCACAGAAGCCCTCCCCACCCCCCACCTCAGCCACTGCTCCCCTCAGCAATGTATTTCAGTGGACCTGCATGTTCTGCTCCTGACTCTGTCGCTGGTGAATCCTCATACCCCTGCATCTCTGTTCTTCAATGCAAAAAAAGAAAGAAAGAAAGAAATGGGATATTATTCAACATTAAAAATTATAGGAAAAAAAAAAACAGGAAAAATTAACAATGTGCAAGATAGAAAACAAACAAAAAACTTGATCCAAAAAATCAAAAACTAATTCTGTGCAAAGATAAAAGAGATCTTTGACAAGACTGATTAAGATAGAGGTATAAAGATTTTTTTCACTATCTAATCATTAAACATTCTGTTGAGTATCTATGAAGGAGAACTGGGATGACCATAAAATTGTGTTCTTGAGAATTGACTGTATTTTCCCTTAATAGGGGGATATTAATGAAAAGAAGATAATTTTTCTAAAAGATCCCAGGAGAGTTCAGGAATTGGAAGAATCAATACAGGAGTGATTTTTAAAATAAGAGGAGAGCTGAAAACTCTATTTAAGGACAAGTTAGACTCTTGGAGACAATTTCCTACTCAGGGGTAACATTGTTCCCAGGGCACTTATTTTCCCTCTCATAAATTTCATTCTCAGGGGAAAGGGAACCAGTCAGTAGGCACAAGTGAACCCAGGCATCTGGTATACCATCCATTTGCCTTTTCTCAGCACACCCCTAGCAAACATGCTCTTGCTGTGCCAGCAGGTAAACCAAGAAATAGGACAACAAAAGATTCGGGAAACACATATTTAATACAAAAGATGGAAATTCCAATGACAAAAGCTGTGCAGGGAGCCTAGAATCAAACAATTCAAACTAGGAATGGAGAACATTCCAGGAGGGAAGCGCTTGCCGCTTGCGATAAAGGAGAAAGGAGGATCCTGGGGGAGGAGAAGAGAAGAAGCAGGGAAACTGGAAAACAACTTAATGTGTTTCAACCCATAGTATAGGAACAAGTTGCTATAGAATGTTTTTTTTTAATTCTGGGAAAAGCTGATAATAGGCACAGAGAAAAACAAATGACACATGTGAAGCAGTTACTATCTCTAAAGGAAAAAGATTGTTTAGAAAAGGAAATGTAATCAGAGAGCATTATTTGTCACTGAAATGAACAGTCGTCAAAAAATTGTGATAAAGCTATATTAAAAAACTGGGTCAGAAAGGAGGAAGTGTAGTGTAATAAAAATAATCTTTGTATTCTTAGTAGGAATCAAATAGGTAACATCTAACACTGAAAAATAAAGAAGTGCTACCATATGGTATTACTTGGCAAATGGAGGTAAATTAATAGAAGACATAGTTAAAACTGATGAAAACGATTGCTTCTCAAAATAGGACTGAGAAGATATGAGGGAAGGGGTAAGAAACAGCTATTTCTTGTATACTGTATTTCACTAGACAACTCAAATTGTGTGTGTGTTACTTTCCTAGGAAATAAAAACTTTAAAATTGAAAGCACATTCTCTTCACACATACATTTTAAAACTTTCACAAGTAGAAAATCATATAGTTCACATTTACCAATCTCTGTGCAATAAAAGCAAAAGATAACAAAAATGATAGCTCTCATTTTCCTTAGACAGAAAACAAGCGAAACAAAACACTCCTGTAAATAAAACTTGACTTAAAAAAGAAAACAAAAATAAAGTTATAGCTTGTTTAGAAACATAACAATGACAGGAGCATATATCAAAGTCTAATGGGTGTGGTCACAATAAAAGTAAGAAGAAACATTAGTGTTTGGTGATTTTGTTTAAAAACAAAAGTTTATAAATAAATGAAAAATACAGTAAAACTAAATAAAGTAGAAGAAATACATTAGAAAACAACCAAAAACCAGACTTGATCAATCTTTAAAAACTGTAATGAGATTAATAAGTGAAGCTTTGGCAAGTCTAATTAAGATAAATAAATATAGTGGTCAAGGAGGTTGATTTCAGCAATCATTCCACTTTGAAATGATATTATGGTGGTTTGATTGTGATTGATTTAGGAATGGGCATGGGACCCTGTCCTCCATAATACGCTATGACGGGCAGGTTACTAAAGAAAGATTTCTTCATTCTTAAGAAAACAGAGAACAGTAGGTAACTGTGTTCTTTAACTGTCTGGGTACGATGCTTAGAAATCCTGTAACCATCCTGCTGTTGACCGGAGGGCAGCACTCAGCAAACCCCAGAAAAGTGGCCCAGAGTTCTGATGTTATGGGGACACCTTGTCTCTGGACTAATGTTTTCCAAGATAAAACATTTCCTCATAGTTTATGCCAACTTGAATCATCATTTCCTGTTATTTCCTGTCAAAGTTACTTAACTGAAAAAAAAAAAAAGCTCAAAGGAATGAGAGAAGGAAGTATAGATATCAAAATTATAACCAAAACACAGAAAATATAATGAGCAATTGTACAACCATAACATGCACAATTTCCTAGGAAAGTAAACTTTTTCAAGATTGACTCTAAGAGATAGGGAAGAAAATCTGACCAAAGCAATAATGACAAGAAAAAACAGCTTGCCAAAGATTTATTGTAAAATGGTAGCAAGTCCACATAGGATTTAGAGGAGAATTCTATCATATCTAAATGAATGAAAAACTGTAAGTTGCTCCTGGAAGGGAAGACTCAATAGGACACCAACATCAAACCTTACTCAAGTGCTAAATAAGTAGAATCAATTTTACCAGTCTCTTAATGCTACAGAACTCTTGAGTATCTGGAAAAGAAGTAGCAAAATATTAGCCAAGAAAATCTTGAAACAAAAGGGGAGAAAACTTGCCTTCTAGATATCAAAGTACACTATAAAGTAACAGTTAATAAAAAATATGATATTGATGCAGAAATAGACAAATGAACAATGCAAGAAAGCCTGAGAATGTGGGGGATTTGAATGATAAAGGAGCATGGAATTATTCAGTAAATGATCTGGGTACAATTGATTTCTATATTCATAAAATGGTTAGGCCTTTCTTACACCAGATCCAAAAATAACTTCCATATATATTAAGATCGAACATTTTTTAAATGTTCAAGATAAATGATTACCTTTTGGAACTCTTGGGGTAACTGCCTTCCAAAGCATGTTATATAACCCAGAAATCATAAAAATTTCATTCATTCATTCAGCAAGTACTAATTAAAAACCTGTAACTGCCAGGCATGGTTCTAGACACTGGAATACATCTGTAAATAACACAAACAACCTGCTCTCATCTTAACGTATATGTAAACTAAACAAACAAGGCCTCCCTTGGAGGTGCAAGGGGTTAAGTCTCAGCACTATGAAGTTATCCACAGCTGCCACAGCGGGAGTGCAATCCCCAACCAGGCAGCTAATGTACATGGCCAGACCTCTCCTGTCTCCTCACTACTCCCCTCAGCAGTCTATTTCCATAGACCTGCCTGTTCTGTTCCTCACTCTGTCTCTGGTGAATCCTCTCACACACACATTCCTCACATCTCTGGCCTACACTAGAGCTCTTTTTCTTTTTTAAAGTTTTGTTTATTTATGCATACACAACTAGGTATAGGCCAGAGGTGCAGAGGGTGAGAGGATTTACTGGAGACAGAGTGGGGAGCAGAACAGGCAGATGGACTGAAATACACTGCTGAGGGAAGCAGGGGGAGGATCAGGAGAGGTCTGCCTTGCCAGGTGGGTCAGCTCCTTGGCCAGGGATTGAACTTGTACTGCAGTGGCTGTGGCCAGCTTCATAGAGCTGTGCTTTAACCCACTGTGCCACCAGGGAGGGTCCTATACTATAGCTCTTGTATGCAAAAATAAATAAATCTTAAAAATAACATACGATATAATGAGTGAAACAAATTAGAGATACTCTGATTACACTTTTTTTTAAAAAAGCCTTATTTGAGTTTGTTCTGTGGCACCTGATTTCTTTCAAACATCCTCTTCAGCGAGATTTTCACTGCTCATTGTTCTCCCACATCTATTACTCTGCTTTTATGTTCTCTGAGGGGGCAGTGACAGAGTCCTTTAGAATCGATTGGTAAATATTAAAAACGCCCAACACTGACAAGTGTGTCAGAAAATCGGCATCCTGGTATGTTTTGGGATGACATGTAAATGAATTTTCTAAAGACAATATGAAAACATTTGAGTCAATGATTTCACTTTTAGAAATTTACCCAGCAGAAATATTCACATATCCAACAAAAAATATCAAGCAAAGATGTGGTTGATAATGGCATTTAAAAGGATGAAAAATTGGTAGTTGGTTAAATATGGCCTAGTATTTGAACTATGGAATACTGTATAATCCTTAAAAAGTTTCATGAACATGCTGTACAATATGTTAATAAAAATAAATCAAATGAATAAGCATATGTAAATTTTGACCCTACTGTCTTTTTAAAACTGTATTAGATGCATACCAAAAATTGAGAAATATGTACCAAATATTCAAACAGTGGTTTACTTATAGAATGGGGGGGTAGAATTGGAAAAAAATGAAGACAAGGCCCTCCCTGGCGGTGCAATGGGTTAGAGCACAGCACTGTGAAGCTATCTGCAGCCACTGCAGCATGAGTGTGATTCCTGGCCAGGAAGCTGACCCACATGGCGTGGCAGACCTTTCTTGACCCACACACACCCTGCTCCCCTCAGCAGTGTATTTCAGTAGATCTGCCTGCTCTACTCCCCACTCTGTCTCTGGTGAATCCTCTCATCTCCTGCACTTCTGACCTGTACCCCAGTTCTGTATGCATAAAATAATCTTAAAAAAAAAAGTGAGGACAAGAAGGAACATTCACTTTTACTCTTCATATTTATTAGTTGAGCTTACGTGCTTATGAGTATGATTTTTTGCCTATGTGTGTTTACAAGCATGTAAAAATATTACGTGACCTGAACTTTAGAATAAACACATCCATGTTGCTAGAGACAGACTTGTGAATTGATGATCTTTAAATGTTAACATTTATTATTTCTGATTTTTTGGGTTTACAAGTGATTGTGATGAACATTTTTGTTACCTGTAATTTTATTTAAAATATAATTTGTATAGTACAGCAATTTATATATAAACAAAAGGAAGTGAGTCACTACGATGTGATTTATAAATAAAGGCACATATTACTATGAAAATGACAGGAGAATGTGAACAGAAAAATCACAAGGGAAGAAATATGAATGGCTAACACTCTTAAACTCTCTAACCCTGAGGACATAGTTTGGCATAAAGTGAGCCCCCAGTAGCCCAATCATGGTCGCTGCAGTTCCTTCTTACGAACATATGTGAGTGTGAAGTCTGACTGTGGGACTAAAAATGTGGGAATGACAGAAACTACCTTACCCAATAGCGGAAGCCTATAAATCCTGACTGCAAGGAGAACGATACAATCAGACCATGTTAGTCAGCATCCTGGGAAACAAGGCCTCACCAAAGGCAAACAACAACCTTCCTCACTCCCAAGGAAGCTGTCAGTCATTTCTAACCTGCCAATGACTTTTCTGACTTCACATCCTCTGGTTACTCTAACTGGAGAGCAGCAAGCCTGGAGAGCCCAGTAATGCCCACTGAGGACTGGTGTGAACTTGGTCTCCTGAGCACTAGTGTTCCAGAAGAGCATGACCACTTGCCATAGGGAGAAGACATGGAAAGAACACAAATTCACTGGAAGAAGAGGGACTCTCATGCTCTACTCCAAAATACCCATCTCTCCTCTGCACATAGTACCCCTTACTATCTCCCCAAGATTCTTATCATTGAAAAAAAATAGATGTTGGATCAGCCTACACTCCAACCATGACAGCCTTTTAAAAGGTAGACAAAATGCTGGCTTAACAGTACTTTATTAAAAAAGTAATACATTAGCTGTATAGAAAAACAGAGAAAGAAAATAAAAATCACGAGTAATTCCATCCCCCTGAAACACCACTTTTAATGTTCTGGCATATGTTAGTATAGATCAACATTTCTGAAATCATATCTGCTTGTAGATATTAGCATTTCTCATGTTTCTATAATTTCTGTCATTGAGTGGATGGAAGGTAGAAGATTCTTGCTGGCTGGAAGAACAGAGGCACAGGAGGAATCAATTCACTCATCGTCTGGGCCAAATTGTCTGTAGCTTTGGGATGGGGAGCTTTAGGACTCACGAAGAACACACTGAAGATTCTTCTCCTTCAGAACTGTAGCACCCTCTGGTGCACCCCTAAGAGAGTTGAGGCTTGAAGACACCAAATCCCAGCTTCTCGTTTCTTTTCCCACATCCCCAAGATAACAGAGATTAAAGGTGCTTCTGGAAAGCAGGGGGCTCTGCTTCTTCCTCTGTGCCATCATGATGTGAGAGAAGTGAATAGGTGACTATTTTCTCAGCCTGCAGGAAGCAGAAAGGAGCCATGGGCATCAGACAATTCACAGGAATGCAGCAAAGGAAGAGGCAGTGGGAGTGGGAAGAGGGAGGGTTGCTGGGATCACTCACTTCAACTTTGGCAGCCTCTTCAGAATCAGTGAGATTGGCTGTGGGCAAAAAGCACAGAGGTCAGCCATAGCCCTGCTACAGTAGGTCGCCTCATGTTGCTGCCAAGGCTGTAAAACCAGGCCCCCAAACAGGCCAGGACCCCTGTCCCTGGCACAGGTCTCTAGGCCTAGAGCTGAATGTGGTCAGTCTCCCAGGTATGGCCTTGTCTATAGGCCACAGTGAAAAGGGGAAGCAGACACAGGTCACATTCTTTCCAGAGAATGACAGCATTTTCAAGAATCAAACCATGCAAATTTGGGGCTCAGAGACACTGGAAAAGTGTGGGGAGAGCTTAGTGCTTCAGAGTGAGATGAAATCCAGATTTTTGCCAATGAGAGACTTCACAGAGAGAAGTCCCAAGGCTCTTTCTACATGGGCCTGATGCAAGGCATCTTGGTTGGAACTTTGAAGACTCTGGTGCTCCATAACATTAACAAGGAAGTGTGAGGATGAAGGAGAGCAAGAGGTTGCAGGGAAGCCAGCCAGCCAGCCAGCCAGTCAGTACTTCTCCTGGTAAATGGCTAAAATACATCAAACTCCCTCATGTTTCTCACAACAAACTCACTTTGCCAGTGTGAGAAGCAGCCTTCGCATCTGCAAAGCAGCATGTCCCAGAAGTTGGGGAGAAGTCTAAATAATGCATCTAGTCTCTTTACTCATCTCCTGGCCACACAGAGTTCCTCTTTTGCCATGCCACAATTTCTGGATCAAACCACATTCTGACTTCTCCTTCCAATACATTACCACTCAGCAATCTCAGCCACCTAGCTCTGCCTTGGAAACCATCAACCCCAGTGCCTGACTTCAGAGGTGCTTAGGAAAATATTTGTGCCAGTGTAGACAGAGCCAAATATCAGAGTGGCCCATCCAGCTGTGTCTGCATTTTTTCTAGCTCTGGTTTGACTCTTGTGTAGATTCAGGTCTGTGTCCCCACTTGACCTGGCCAAGGGACACAGGGGCCTTGCTCAAAGCAGTGTCATTTTGTGCAAACTCTCAAATCTTGGGGGCTCAGCTCTGAATCATACGTCACAGGATGTGAGGTGGCGCCCTCTGGGACCTCCTGCCATCTCTGTTGTCACGGAGCCCCTTGAGAAAACTCTGACTTTAGCCAGTCAGGAAGTTGCCCGGAACACTCCTCTCCTTTGCACAGGGCAAGGGTCAGTGGGCACTGACTCAGAAAGTCAGGCCTGGAAGAGCTCAGAGGACCTCAAGGACAACCCACTCATTTTCTCAGTGAAGCAACTGAACCTCATGCTGGGGACAACTTGACAAATAGCCACCTTATGATGAAAACAGTTAATCCAGGCCCACATTCAATAGCCCTTCAGGAGTGGACATCAGAACCAAGATTTGCCCATAGAGAACAGCCCACTAGTTTCCTTAAACATCCCCCCCCCCAAAAAAAAAAAACATTCTGAAGCCAAAACATCTCTTAATGTGCCACTAAAGCTGGGTTCTACCACTCTCACACAGCCAGACTGCTCAGCAATCCAAGACTTACCCCTGGCCTCCCCACTTTCCTTCTGAAATCCTACTCCCTTTATCCTATCTGCCTCAACCTCATAACTTATAACCCTTGTCCTGTGCCACTTCTGCCAAAGTCCCCAGAAAGACCAAACAGCTGTGTTTCCTGCTTTGGAAACGTCCCCATCACTTCGGTCCCGGAGATTTGGACACGGCCCTCCCCTCTCTTTCTGGAACTAGGGGCAGGGCTTCTGCCTTGCAACTCATGGTTTCAAAGTGGCATCATCAAACTTTTTCCTGCATCTTTTTCCTTCTTCCCTTCTACTCCTCGTCAGTAAGGGTCTCCTCAGGCCTGGGAGTTAGTCTCAGAATGGACTAAGTGATTTGAACCTCTACCCTCCTCCCCTGCTCGCTCCACCCTGCTCTACCCTCCAGGCCCCTAGCTCACCACACACAAGCCTCTCCTCGCTGGCTCCACGCATCTGTAGCCCCCAGTGGGTCATCATGAGGGGGAGCCATACTCACCTGGCTCCTTAAGAAGGGTATCTATTATTTGACTGTGCTCAGGGGCTCCGAGGAAGGCTGAGAGGGGCACATAGAGGTTAGTAGGATTATGGGATGGGGTCTGAGATCTGAGGACTAAGGTCCAGGGGCTGGACTAGACTAGAAGTAGCAAGGCTACCTCTCTCCTCTCCACTACCAGGTCTCTTGCCCAGAAATCTGTGGTCCAGCATCACTGGGGACCCCTGGGAGAGTCAGAACAGCTACCCATGGTGTGTCTCTTAGGCCCACGATGCCTTTTACAAAGCAACTCTCTCTCTCATAATTTCTCCTATTGTCTTTGTATCCAAGTCCTGGTAAACTGATGACAAAGCACGTGAGATATTAGTGCCATTACTTTCTCTTTCTCAAGTGTTCTTCCCCTTTCTTTCTTCAGCAATGTGCCTTTCAATGTGATGTCTCACGGTGATTTGCTTATCGGAGATCCACTTTGCTTTCCTACTCTCTCAGCTCTTTTTCCATTCGTCCTGAGGACAGAAGCTGCTTTCCCAGAGTGGATTTCTTTAGCTGACAAATCTGCTATTGAATAAATGTCTGTGGAGCATCTTACTGCGTGGCAAGCTCTGTACTAAGCGCTGGGTAAGGGGTAGGCCCAGGAAACACGTCACTGCTCTCCTGTGGTGTTGCCAGCACCATCGGAACACAGCTAAATTCTCTGAGGTGGCTTACATGGACCCCTTACCCATCTTTCTGCTCTGTCTCACCTCCTTCCTCCCTGCCTTGCAAGTTATGGCCCCTCCCCTGACTCTCACTGTGGTCACGAAGTGTCTCATCTACAAGTCTTGTTCCCCACACCTAAAATGTTCTTTTGGCTCTCCTTGCCTGACTGATGACTACTCTCCAACCTCACATCTTCTGTCACCTCACAGCCTGCCGTGCTGTGGCTGAGGAGTGTCCAGAGGCTCCAGGCTCATGCAATATTAACCACCCCGTGCAACATTTCTAGGTTGCGTCCTCACCTTCCAGATGAAGGGACTGAGGTGGTGTGAGACTACCTGAATTTGGACGGCAGGTGAGCCACGTGGCTGAGATGTGAGCTCGGGCAGCCCAGCCCCCAACATGTGTGGCCCTCCTACCCACACTGCCTCCCTCAACCTCCTCTAACTGCCCCATGCTGTGCTGGGTTCCCCAGCTCTTCTGCCCCCGTTGGTGTTTCTCAGTTGTTGTTCACATCCCACCTAATGAGTGATCTCTTTGCGATTCTATCTTCCCCACATCCTGTGAATTCCCAGAGGGCAGGGCCTGGACTCCATCCTGGCATCGCCTGCCTACCGTATGGTGCCTGACACACAGCAGGTCTGCTCAAGCCTCATTGAGTGAATGGATTAGTAACTGGATGAATAAGTTAAAAGTGGGGGATATAGTAAATGCTAAGGATTCTGTAGCCCAGAATTGAGGGTTCTGGCAAAGGCTGAGAGCTTCCCCAAGCAGGAAATGATCACAAGAGGAGCCACAGATGGGAAACCTGCAGGGATTATAATTGAGATGGAAAAAAAATGTACAAAA